CCTCCAAGCCCCAGCCTCCATCAGGTCTCTCTGCATGGGGATCTTGGAGTCTGCGGTGACAAGTGCTGGAGACTGTTTTGTTGTGAGTCCTGATGTGCCTTGGACAGAGGCTCCATCTGGGCCAAGAGGCCCGCTTCCTCCATGCTGTCCGGAACCCCTCACCTTCTGCCTACATGTCCATACATGTTCTGTGTGAAGGTGCGCGCCTGCCTCAGAAGGCCCCGGGGGTGATGGTCTCCTAGAGAGGGTCTTGGGAAATGGGTGAGCCGTCTTCTGTTGGCTGGAGGCTCCAGCTCTGGCTTCTCAGGTGTGTGCGCCCTCTTGGTGTGGAGTGGTTTTTTGTGGAAAAAATGTATTGCCTCCACTCCAGCTGAGGCTCCAGCCTCTGGAGTAGAAATTCCTGGCTGTGTGGGTCTTGTCCTACTCTGTGCAGCGGTGCTCTTTTGCCAATCAGATGCCGTCTTCTCTAATCACAGCTGTGCCCAATCTTGACGGCTGAAGTATTACGCCTTTTCCCTTTTTTTTTTTTTTTTAATTTTTTAAATTTACTTTCATTTTGTGTGTATTTTGCCTCCCCTCATGTAAGCGTGCTGTGTATGTGCTGTGCCTGAAAAGGCTATTGGTTCCCCTGGAAATAGCGTTAGATGCAGTTGTGAGCTACCATGTGGGTGCTGGGAACTGAACCTGGGACTGTCTAAAAGGGTAACAAGTGCTCATAACCCAAGACATCTCCAGTTCTTAATTTTATTCTTATATATATTTCTAAAGTTGATTGGGGGGGGTGCACATGCATGCCATGACAGAAATGTGGGGGTCAGAGAAAAACTTTGACAAGTTGATTTGTGGCTTTCATGATTTGAGACCCAGGGGTTGAATCCAGATCACCAGTCTTCATAGCAAGTACCTTTCTTTACTCCACCATCTTACTGGCCTGTAATTATTTTTTATTATTATTATTTTTTTTTATGTTTTGAGACCCTGTCTCACTATGTAGTCTGGGGTAGACCAGGCTGGCCTTGAGAGCCATCTGCCTCTGTCTCCCAAGGGTGGGATTAAAGGGTAGCCCTAGCCCAACAATGTATTCACTCATTTATTTATTATTTGGTGTGTGTATGTGCTCTTGCTCATGTATACATGCCAGCACATATGTGAAAGAGAGGACACCTTTTGAGAGTTGATTCTCTCTACCATGTGAATCCTTGAGATTGATCTTAGGTTCATGCTGATCCTACTCGCTGGCCCTTGTTTCTGGCCCCTTTAGAATTTTTGTCTTTTTTCCCCCGCCACAGTACTGTATTCTCACTGCAGAGCTGTATAACCTCCTCCCCTGTGCTGCAGCCCTGTGGAATTGGGGTAGGGCCTCACCTCCTTCAGGTTGTAGTGTCTGCCCAGAGCCCTGCTGTAGGCTCTTGGGACAGAGTGGGCAGTGTAAGCTGCTGTTTAACATTCCTTCCTTCCCTGGTGTAAAAAGAGGCCTTTCTGTGCTGATGGATATTAGAGCCAAGACTCACTCCTTCCTAGTCAAGATCCTGATTCCAGGCAAGGTCCCTGGATCAGAGGTACCTGTACTTCAGTCTCCTCGGTGGGGCTCTTTGCCGAGTCCTTTTGTTAGTTGCTTCACCTTCCTGAAGACTATGGGGTGTAGTATGTCAGCCTATCCTCGGATGAGAGTGCTGTTTTTGTGGGGGTGGGGTAGGGAGGCTAATAGGCCCTGCACTGAAGAGATTTAAATTCCCAGAGTTTGGGGTACCATCCATACCTACCTCTCCACAGAGTTATTTTTTAGAGTTTCTTTCTGAGAAGGTGCCAGCCCCATCCTCTCTGGGCCTCTTTTTCTAAAGCCTGCTGCTCTGTAATGCAGCTCCCATGCACTCTGATTCCAGGAATCCCATGCAGTGCAAGTGAAAGAAACTGAGCCGGAGTGGCAGTGCACCCTTCTAACCTCAGCATTAGGGAGGTCGGGGCAGGAATGTGGGTTCAAAACTAGCCTGAGCTGTATACCAAGACCCTGTCTTAGAAAGGGAAAGGATCCGTTTTTCCATTGCACTGGCTGACAGTGCACTTTGGAACATTTCCCACATTGCATCTTCTGTTAAAACCGTTCTCTGGGTATTCCTTTCCTTGGTAATAAGGACCCCTCACTGTGGCTGCCCACCAGGTTGTAACTC